CAAAGACAAAACGGGAACAGTTTGTAGTACTAGTTTGTAGTACTGTTTAATGACCACTGTGATGCATAAAATTTGATTGAATCTTGAGTTAAAAAATAACAAAACTGGGCTGGGAGGTGGCTCAAGTGGCAGAGTGACTACCAAGCAAGTGCAAAGCCCTGAGTTTGAACATCAGTACCACACTCCCAAGACAAAAAGAAAAAACAAACAAGACAACAATAGAAAGCTGAGCATAGTCTGAGCTTTGGTGATATGATGGAATCACTCATTTTTTTACGCATCACAATGGAATTGTGGTTTTATAGAGTGCCCTTCTTTTTTAAAGTATGAAAACTGAAGTAATGGCAAGGAAAAAGTGAATGCCACCTATAACGTCCAAATCATTAAGCGCAGAGAGATTTATAGAGGGAGGGAAAGAGAATTTGGCAAAACCTTAGCAAACACTGAACCCAAGTGGTGAGTGTAAGGGCGATGGTTGCACTGTTCCTTCAGCTTTTCGGTATTAAGTATTTTTCAGAGTAAATTAGGAGAAAAAAAGCTGATGTGTAGTTTTGAGTGCATCGGTCACCTTTGAAAGGACTGTCAGAATCACAGACACTCTCAAAAATTTGTTTCTTTAGGTCTATTTTCTTGGCTTGTCAAGTTTTTCAGGAAAAAAATGTTCTCCCAATCTCCTTCCTGGAGTGTGAAGCTTAACTGGCCAGGATTATGGATGAGGGGAAAGTAGAGCATCCACACAACGGAATATCATGGAGCTGTAAAGAAAGGGTTCTCAGATTTTAATATAAAAATTCTTCCTTTTGAGAACAAGAACCCTGGCCTCCAGCAATATCTTGTTTTCCAGGGGCCAGAGAGCCATTCTTTCACCCTTTGCAGGGAGCAAACCTCTGGTTTTCTGCTGCTTTGGTGGTGGGGCAGATAGCGTCAAAGAGGACAGCCGCTGCTCAAACAGACTCTCAACCAATTACCGCCTTTTCAGTCCCAATGTCACCCCTGCTTTGAGAAGAATCCATTGGTACAATCGCTGAGCTTCTGGAGAGACTGAGGGTGTAAATCAGGGGCTTCTTAATTTGTCTTTTCAGGTGTGCCCAAGTTGTATTGTTTGACCACCTGGAAGCTTTGTAGCTTCCAAAATATTATAGCTCTTATCTCCTTTCCTATTCTCCTTGTGGAGCTCTGCATTTTTAAAAAGTGCACTGTAATGCCAGTTTATTGGGATTTCAAGGGACAGCTGAAGCTAATGAATGCAATCAATACATCATCCTGAACTAGAAGTCAATCCTATGCTCTTTAGTCTCTTTCTCCTATATACTACTTTGAAACTTATCCGTTCTTTCTAGTCTTTTAACAGGTTATCTTTAAAATTTTAATATTGCTGCCTACCTATCAAAGTCTAAAGATAATCAATATTCCTATCTTCTTCCTGGATAATGGAAAGACTACACAATGCTTTAACTTTGATCTCTACTATCCCATTTTTCATGTGACTTTGGTCTAATATTTTAGTTCCTCATTGTTTTTAACACGTCCTTCCAAGTAGTCCTTCATCAATATATACATATATTTTTAGAAACCCTATGATGCAGTAAGTTCTGACCTAGACACTGCAAATACAGCACTGAACTAGGTAAACTACATGCAAATGTATTTTGTTAGATAGAACTATATAAACTTGGAAATATTTGGTAAATTTTTAGTTATAAAAAACTGATCTCATACACACACAACACATACCACATACACATTTACGTATGCCTCCAACCAACCCCAACAAGTTAAACACTAAAGCCATCAAAGAAGAAAGTATGAGTGTGTCTTGCTGTGTATTAATCTAGATTCAGTCAGAAAAACAGAAGCTACTGGGTGTATTTCAAGTATGGAAGGCTTTAATGCAGAAAGTTAACCTTTTATAAAATTTTTGGGAGTGCTGGAGAAGTGACCATCTCAGTTTGCAGTACCGAAGGACTGGATTCCCAAGAGCTCACCTGTAGGTAGCTGCAAATGGGAAGCTCCCCTAATTATCTGCCTGCAATATCAGTGCCCACTATCCCTAAGACAGTCATCTAGGAGCTGTTTGAAATTCTATGCTCTGTCTGAGACTGCCAGGAAAAAGTAATGGTTGCTCCTCTTTCATTTCACACTGGCTGGCTTCCCTTTCCTTTGATGACTGAGGTGTTATGACTGGGTGGCAGTTCCTGTTGTTTCTTTCTTTTCAAGTGAATTTTCTCTTAGGAGGCTTCTCAGCCGCTGTGCAAATAGACCTCGGCTGGGCTTGCCTGTGCCTGCTGAAACCCAGTCTGACTAAGGCTAGGACTCCTGGTAAACCCATCTCCCATTTTCTGTCCCAACTTGCTCTTCCCTTACTTGGTTGTCTATGAGAGAACAGTCTTCTACCTTGTTGCCTAGAAACCTGGAAATCATGGCAACTCTTTCTTCAACTTCATCTCCTTCATGAGTCACGAAGTGGTATCAGTTGTCCTGCTTTAACATCCTTCAAACATACATGGTCCTGCCAACCCTCCCTGCTGTGGATTACTGCCTTCTGCCTTGTCAACATCCCAAGGGATCATTCCATCATGGACCCTTCAGTGACTGCTCACAGCAGGCCCCTTGGGACCTGGGCATGATCTGTTTACTCTCTAGCCTTATCTCCTGCTGTCCCATGCTGCCAGAGCCAAAGACCAGGGTTCCACTTCTGGCCACACTTCTCTCTGTGTACAAATCACTTAACCTACTCAAACCTCGGTGCCTTGATCAGTCAAATGAATGAATTCAATTACCCAGCTTCCTATGTATTGGTCACTCTGCCAAGCGAAGGGAGGAACAGAGATGAATTAGTTCCCCTGCACTCCAAGAACTCTCAGACATGTCAACAAATCATTGCACTACAAGAAAATAAATGCTGCATTGCTGAAATATACAAAGTGTTATGTGATAAACTTGGAACCAGTCTGTATCCAGAGCAAGGAAGAGAGCATTCAGAGTGACATTGGAGCTGTGAAGGAGGGACTACTATTCTCTTCCTCCCCAAATCTATTCTTTCCTCCTTCCTGAGAGGTAGAACCATTTTTTTAAAAAAAGCTGAGCATACACTCAGAATAAAGACTACATTTCCCAGCCTCCTTTTCTGCTAAGTGTAGCAATGTGGTTAGGTTCTAGCCAATGGGATGTCAGTAGAAGTGTTAAGTGCCATATTTGGGATGTATCTTGAATGGGAGGAAGCACATCCTTCTCCTTTTCTTCCCTCCCGCCAGTGGGGAGGTGGAGTTGGTAGATGAAGCTGTAATAAACTTGGATGTGAGTCTCTTGTTGAGGAAGAAAGTGCAACAAGACAGAGGCAGCCCTGGTTGGTTTAAATGTACATGAGAGAGAAATAAAATTCTATTTTGTTTAAGCTAGTCTCCTCCTCCCGCCCCTCACTTGCAGCTGAGCCTAATTCTAACAAATACAAATTCAGTATGAAAAAAAAAAGAACATATATACTCACCAGGAGGTAGGTTATTTCAAGCAGAGAGAATAGCACATACAAAGGTGCAGGGGTCCCGGGAGAGGTGATGAAGTACTCAGGGAATGCCAAGCAGGTGGTGAGATAGGAAATGATTGGGATGGGCCATGGTAGAGAATGGATGTGATAGGAAGACCTGCAAGAGGTTCTGAGTGCAGTTGGGGTAAGAGGCAATTGGGGCTACAACGGCAGTGGAAGTGGAGGCAAGGGAATGACTCAAGGTACATTTAGGAACAAGGGTGAGTGTGTATAAGGGTATGGAGGGAGCTTATTCTCAGAGAAAGATCTGGGCTATCTGGCATTCCCTTCTCAGGGACTGTGGGAGTGGAGTTCAGCCTTCCCTCATGTGGAGAGTCCATCTCCTACTCCAGTCCCTGGGGCCCAGAATCGCTGATCCAGACACCACTTACCATCCCATTGTCACCTTGCTTGGCTTGCCCTGTTTGATCCAGGATTGTCTCATAAATGAAGAGATGGGAGGGTCATAACCTCATAAATGCTGGCTCTTCCCAGGCTGCCTGAGTACCCTATAGTGGAACTGGTAAGGGCTGTTCAGGCTCTAGCCAGCAGCTGGACACTGTCCCTCTGGCTGGGTGGTGCAGAGTGGCCCTGGAGAGTTGAGTAAGAGCAGGGCCTTTGGCAGACAAACAGGCTGTGTCTATTGGTGGGCCAGCCAGCAGGTCATTGTGAAGGTTGCAAGTTATGGGATTTGGGGGGAAATAGGTGAGTTCAGCCCCACCCCTAGCAAAGCTTCCAGGAAGCACTTTTACTGTGGCAGCTCCCTGGTAGCAGGGAACTTATTTAACCCTCTGAGTGCCAGGAAAAGGACAGGAGGCAAATGCTGGGAGGCAGTTGAGGTCACCCTTCTTTGAACCTCCACGTGGTATTTGCTCAGAGCAATTGTTGTCAGAGGCCCAGGCCCCTGGAGTATAAAGCAGAATGCTCGTTCTCTGTGCCCAGAACTGAGCAGGTGAGCAGCCAGGGCAGAGGGATGGTTGGGGGGGTGTGTCTAAGTGAGGGAGGGGATTGCAAGATATCAGAGCTGGGAGTGGGAACTAAGACCTCCTCTTGAGCACTTTGGCAGAGCTGTTTCTCCCACCTTGGGTATGCCTCAGTTTTCCCAGCCATGAAACGGGAGGCAGGAAGACAGGTGAGCAAGGGAGACAGGGAGCTGTTCCTGGGCCTCGGGAATGGGGAGGATGGTGGCGGGGAAAGCTTTATAGTGCAGTTTGAGCTCCATACTCTCTACTTTGTGACTGTGGTGAGAAAGCAGCAGCCCCTCTTGTCTGAGGGAGTCTCCCAGCCTCCCTGATCCACTTAGGTCAGTTCTCTTGAGCCCCAACCAGAGTCTGGCTCCCTATACACGAGGGAAGGGTTAACGGGATTTGGAGCAGGTCATCCCTAGAGAAGGGTCCCTAGAGCAAGTCCTTTCCTTTGCTTCTTCACACTGACCAGGCCGCATCCACCTTTGTTCTCAGGGTCTATCACAGCAATCATGGCTGCCATCCTCACTTGGGCTCTGGTCCTCCTCTCAGGTGGGTCTCCGACCTGACTTCAATATGGCGGTGGGAGTGGATGCTGGATGGAAGCACCTGTTCATCTTGCTGGGAGGAGAACCCAGCCTCTAATCACCCCATCTGTCTCCTCAGCGTGTGCAACCACCCATGCACGGAAAGGCTTCTGGGACTACTTCAGCCAGAGCAGCGGGGACAAAGGCATGATGGAGCAGGTCCAGCAGCAGAAGGTGGAACGGGAGCTCACGTAAGTGGCCAGGGAGAGTGGGAGGAGACAGCCCTGGGGGGGGTGGGGTGGGGAGGGGGGGTGCAGTGACACACTGTCTCTGATTCCTTAACTGAGTGTGGTCCTCACCAGGGGAAAGGAAGTCCTCACCAGGGCAGAGGAAGTGAGCTGTGCCTGCTCTACTGGCAGGGCCCAGCTATCCCGGGCTCTTGAGCGCCCCCTGCCATCCCTATAGCTGCTGTCCCTTTGCCTACTAAGGCATGGGACCTGAGAATGGTGTGAGTCTTGGCCCGTGTGCAACACCTTTGGGTCTGCGTGTGCAATGTGTGTGCGCTTTGTGTGTGGGGAGTTGTGGTTGGCTGGAGATTAGAACCGGAAACTTCGTCTCTCAGGCCACCACCCCATGTCCTTTGTTTCCCCCAGAGGATCAGTGTGCAATGGCTCTGGGGCAAGGCAGTCTGATGGTCCCTTTTTTCAGGAGACTGAAAGACAGCCTCGAGCAAGACCTCAACAATATGAACACATTTCTGGAAAAATTGGGCCCCTTGAGTGGGCAGGGGAAGGAGCCTCTTCAGATGGCCCCGGACTCTGCTGGCATACGGCAGCAGCTGCAGGAGGAGTTAGAGGAGGTGAGGGCGCGCCTGGAGCCCTACATGGCAGAGGCACATGAGCTCGTGGGCTGGAACCTGGAGGGCTTGCGGCGGCAGCTGAAGCCCTACACGGTGGAGCTCATGGAGCAGGTGAGCCTGCATGTGCAGGAGCTGCAGGAGCAGTTGCGTGTGGTGGGAGAAGGCACCAAGGCCCAGCTGCTGGGGGGCGTGGACGAGGCGCTGAACCTGCTGCAGGACATGCAGAGCCGCGTGTTGCACCACACCGGCCGGGTCAAAGAGCTCTTCCACCCTTACACGGAGCGCCTGGTGACCGGCATCGGGCGCCACGTTCAGGAGTTGCACCGCAGCGTGGCTCCGCACGCCGCCGCCAGCCCTGCGCGTCTCAGCCGCTGCGTGCAGATGCTCTCCCACAAACTCACGCTGCAGGCCCGGGCTCTGCACATGCGCATCCAGCAGAACTTAGACCAGTTGCGCGAAGGGCTCAGTGCCTTTGTCAGCTCCAGCGCAGACGGGGCTGAGGATGGGGCCTCCCGCGATCCCCAGTTGCTCTCCGAGGAGGTACGCCAGAGACTCCAGGCTTTCCGCCATGACACCTTTCTGCAGATTGCTGCATTCACTCGCGCCATCGACCAGGAGACAGAGGAGGTGCAGCAGCAGCTGGCACCACCCCCACCAAGCCACAGTGCTTTCGCCCCTAGGTTGGGACCACCAGACAGTGGCAAGGCCCTGAACAAGCTGCAGAGCCGTCTTGATGACCTGTGGGAAGACATCACCCACAGTCTTCGTGAGCAGGGCCACAGCCATTTGGGGGAACCCTGAGGTTCTCCTTGCTCCGGTTCACACCCCAACTCCCTGTCTGGGGAGCCCTGGACCTGAGTCACTAGCACTGGCTTGTTGGGCGGGGGTGGTTAGGTGAGATCACGGAAGGGCTGCCATCTGGGCATATCCAGCCTCCTCCACTCCCCCATCTGGATGCATTACACTCATCAGGCTTTGCAAACCCAGATTCGGTGCTCATTCGCAAAATTCAGGGGAGGAGGGAGTGGGGAAGAGCGTGTGGGAGATTGGCTGCATAGGATGGTGCTGGAAGCCTGTGCCACTACAACTCCGAGTTTGGCTTCTGCCCCTTCCAGCTGCCTGGTTATTGCTACAGCTGGTCCACAGAGAAGCTGTCTCCCTAGGCAGCTTCTGTTGGGGGAACAGAAGAGCACAGGAGGAAAATGTGATGAGAGCATGGAAATGGTGTGTGTATACCCTTGCTGGCCGTGATACTGGTGGTAGAAGTGGTGGAACCGTGATGGAGTGGACCAGTCAGTATATCCCTATATAGCTCTGCACCTACATAAGGGGATAAGCTTTCTAAATGGTGGGGGCCTCTTAAGCACTCTGGGGGGCATGCTGTGTGCCCTCCCCATCATCATACCCAAAGTCTAGAAGTCTAGACTTCTGACTCAAATGAAATAGATAATTATGAAGGAAGCTTGCTTGCTTGGTGTGACTCTCATTTGGACCATATCTGAGAGCAGTTGCCTCACCACTGACCTCAAAGCACATCCATCACCCACTCTAATCCCTTGCTGTTCATTCCGCCCCTCTCCAATTCTACTCTGTCAGAGGGTTTGCTCTGGCTGGGCTCTGCTTCAGGGCTTGGGGCTAGACACAGCTGTCTGTCACACCTGGGGAGCGGGGTTGATCTGGTTTAGAGACCTCTCCTGCATCTGTATTGTCCAACAACCTGCTTACCACAGGATGGTGTGCCTGGAATGCAGGCTGTTACAGGAGGAGTGGTGACCTCCTGGACCTGAGTCTCCAGAGGTGGCCTGTCCCCTTTGTTCCTGCTGTTTCAGATTCTGGCTTTTTGTGACTTTTGGGACCCACAAACTCTTAACTCTCTCCCCTCATATACATATACATATACACACTCACTAAGGGGCTTCATGGATCACTTAGGAACTGCAAAACCGGGGGTGAGGAGGCAGGGAAGAGGAAAAGGGTAAACCCAGTTCTTTCTCCCAGCTCAGTCTGCCTAGGTTGGCCCCACAGAGGGTGCCCAGCACCTCCCCACCCCAGCACAGACCCCTCATGAATCTGGGCTCTTCATGTCCACAGACTGGTCATCCCTAACATCCTGGATTTGGCCACTTTTCAGCAACAGAACTGGGTTGTGGCCCCAGTACATGGAGAAGAAATGCTGGAAAGAAAAGCTACCAAAAAAGAGTGGGTTTGTTGTTGTTAGGAAGCAGGGGAGGTGAGCCAGCTGAGGTCGGATGTGGTGGGGATGAGGGGGTGAGAGTAAAAACAAGGGCTGTGTATTTGAGGCTTGAATATGCAGACAGAAATAGGAAGCTGGAAGAACAGAAAGAAAGGGATAGGGGCTGGGTGACCGAGGGAAACCGAGGGAAGGAAAGAAATTGAGAAGGCGACCTAGAGTTCAAGAGAGGGGGATCCCTGGAGCCCAAGCAGTGTCTGGCTCAACAGTGGGCTTTATAAGCAAACCCAATTCGGAGAGCACCTCGTCAGGGATGCCCAGGGACAAGTCAGGCCACTTGCCCTCAAAGTTCTTGTAAACAGATTTATGGACCAAAAGGCTCTCTGTGCGGTGAAGCCATTGCAAAGGCGCAAAAACAAAACAACAAAAAAAACCTGCCCTGGGTCTGAAAGCACGTCTTGGGAGAAGTGACAGCTTAGCAGTAGTGGATCTACTGGCTATGGATTCCAGAACCGTAGAATCCTAGAGACCGGAAACCTTTGTCGGAGTGCCCAGTGTCTGCGGCCTCTTTAAGAACGAGCGGGAAACAGCAGCCGGCGGAAGTAGGGCGGTGAGAGCGGCGGAAGGGGAGGGGCCACGAGAACGGCGGAAGTCGGAAGCTAAGGCTGTTCTCTGCGCGTGCGGGGTCATGTCGGCCAGCGGGGCGGTGGAGCCCGGTCCCCCGGGGGCTACCGCCGCCCCCGCGCCCGCCCCGGCCCGGCAGCCTGCCACGGAGCACTTGTTCCGGCCCATCAGCGCCGAAGACGAGGAGCAGCAGCCCACCGAGATCGAGTCGCTGTGCATGAACTGTTACCGCAATGTGAGGCTGGGTCGCGGGAGGGAAGGGCTTAGGCGGCGAGGGCGGGGTTCGGCCACTCAGCCAGGTGGGCCGGTCGGGTACCCAGAGGAGTAGGGCGGGGAACGAAGGTTTCATAGATTATTTACTAAAATCTGCTTCCCCAGGGCATGACGCGCCTCCTGCTCACCAAGATCCCTTTCTTCAGAGAAATAATCGTGAGCTCTTTTTCCTGCGAGCACTGTGGCTGGAACAACACGGAGATCCAGTCGGCCGGCAGGATCCAGGACCAAGGAGTGCGCTACACTTTGACGGTTAGGGGCCAGGAGGTGAGAGGAGCCCGGAGAGATCGTGGGGGCTGGAGTCAGAGCTGTGATCCAGGTCATCAGACTTCAGATAAATCTTCCTGTAGCCACACCTTCGTTTTCTCCTTTGGAAATGCTGCCGGTGCTGTCATTTGCTCAAGTGCGACACGATTTGTGAAAGTGGTTTGAGAGTTTTGTAAGAGGGTTGAAATGAGCAGGAATTGTTACGGGTATTATTCTCACCATTTGGGCAGTGTGGCTCACACCACCAGTACTACTCCAAAGGAGTTGTCTGGACCCTCCTGAGTGGAGAGAGGGAGAAGGGCTGGACTAGAGTCTAATGGAAGAAGACAGTCTGGTTATTTCCTGAGGAGAAACTGTATTGTTGACGTCTTTGGACTGAAAGTTTTCCTTTCTGCCCAGGACATGAACAGAGAAGTGGTGAAGACTGACTCTGCCACCACGAGGATCCCTGAACTGGATTTTGAAATTCCGGCTTTCAGCCAGAAGGGAGGTAAGTTAAGACCAGAGTATTTGGGCTTGTACAGATAGCTGGAATCTTACTCTTTTTTTTTCAGAACTACCAACACCAGGCCTAGTGGCTTGTGTATGACTTTGGCTATGCCATCATTAATGATTTTTGTTGCTTAATATGAGTGGAAAGTTCAGATAAAATAGCTTGCAATAGTAGGACCATGAAATTCTTGGTTTAGAATTTTACCATCACTTATCAGAGATGAGTAGAACTTAGAGCTTGGCCTCCTCATTTTACAGATGAGAAAATCAAGGCCCAGAGTTAGGTGAATTTCCTAGGGTCATATAGGTAATTGATAGCAGAACCAAGACTTACTTATTACATTTTCTTTCATAAGCTCTGACCACTGTTGAAGGATTGATCAACCGTGCTATCTCTGGCCTAGAACAGGACCAGCCCACACGAAGGGTGAGCTGGGCTTTTCTGATTGCAGCAGCTCAGGGGATTATTGCTTATGTGTCTGATTCAGAGTGTTTAGTATCTTAACTGAACTGTATCTGACTGAATGTTGGGGAACTTTGGGCAAAGCATATGGTGATGCTGGGGCTGCCAGGAGGTTGCATATGTTGTACTTATTGTCCTTTCCATGACTTGGCCCCAATGTATATTTAGGTCTTATCTCAGACAGACTGTAGCATTACCTCAGAAGAGTCTTTCCTGATCCCCTTGGGTTACCTGTGCTTCCTGAGTATTCCATGGTATATTATACTTACTATTAGAGAAATATTATAATTGCATACTTAGTCATCTGATTTCCTAGCTGGCTAGGGAGCCCTATCAGAGGATTTTGATTTATTTACCATTGTATCCCTAACCTGGTATGAGTGTCTGAGCTAAATGGTGGAATGAGAAAATAAGGTCCCTCCAGCACCACCTGTAAACTTCAGACTTGCTTACTACATTTCACACTAAGGCATGTGTCAGCTTCCTGATAGAATTGCAGTGGGCATGAATGGGTTGGCTAATGAGGTACACTGCCAGTGACAATGCTTTTAAAACTCTGTGACAGGCAAATGAAGAGGTCATGGCAGAAAGAATTGATGAGTTCATTGCCAAACTGAAGGAGTTGAAGCAAGTGACCTCCCCTTTTACTCTGGTAAGTACTGAGGAACTAGTTGCTTTTGATTTAAGGGGTTTTAGGAGACCATTCAGACTGGAAATTTTACACTGTGGTTGATGGTAGGTGGAAGTAGAGGGTTGTACATAATTTCTTGTTGCAATTACTCTCCCTTCACTCATCTGTTAGATCATTGATGATCCTTCAGGGAACAGCTTTGTAGAAAACCCATATGCACCCCGGAAAGATGATGCCTTGGTCATCACCCATTACAGCCGGACCCTACAGCAGGCAGAGATGCTGGGCCTCCAAGTAAGTACGGTGAAGGAGCTAGAAGAATGCTCTGAAATTATCTTGCACTTTGGGTTGCTTGGAGTTGGTGAAAACTTGCTTTGCCACTACTGCTGTATGTACCTTATCTTAGCTTTCTGTGCCTCTCATTTCGGTTCATGTTAGGACTTAGGGTAAACTTCACAGAAAGAATAGCAGTGGCTATTATCCTGTCTTGAGTCCTCTTCTTCCCTTGATTAGGGCTTGCTTTCTGGCTTCTCTGTCCAACCCATGAGATAGCACCTGATATAAGTGAGTGAAAGCATTTTCTCCTGCTCCAGAGCTAGGTGTTGAGGCTAAGTTCTAACTTGTGATTTATGTCTTTGCTCTTTTAGGCAGAAGCACCAGACGAGAAGGCAGAAGAGGAAGATCTCAGAAATGAAGTGAGTCATATTGGCTCCTGCTGAGGAAGGAGCAGAGTTGTGGGCTGAGACTGATATTGTTCATTGTCTGTCTTCATCATCACCAATATGGGTGATGAATGTCTTTAGCCTGATTGTCCTACGTAGGAGGGCTCATCCTGTGTTTACATATTGTGTCCTAGGTGCTCCAGTTCAACACAAACTGCCCAGAATGCAATGCTCCGGCTCAGACCAACATGAAGCTAGTGCGTATCTTTTGTGATCTGACTCAGACATGAAGATTATATTCAGGCCAGGAACATCCCTTCAAGGAAAGCATATGCTTTGTCAGTGATGAAGATGTTGCTTTTGACTGTGTACCTTGGCTGCTGGGTTCAAAGAGAAAACCAAGCCAGGATCTCAGGGTGTCTGTGTGTGGCCTGAGCCATATCTTCAAATACTTGTGAACCTTGGGCAGGGAACTTGCCCTCTTCTGGAGGATACGGAGGCTGCCTTGTGATATGTTTCCTGCAGTCTTGGGATCAGTGTCCGTTTGTGTGGGGTTTGGCTTTGGTTTTCCCCGGAGGGTGGTCTTATTCTCTTGGAAGCAGTTTCCTTAACTCTATTTTCCAGAAATCCCCCACTTTAAGGAGGTTATCATCATGGCCACCAACTGTGAGAACTGCGGGCATCGGACCAATGAGGTAGTTGGGACTTGTGGGTTAGAAGACTGGCTTAATGCTGACTCTTTGGTCACTCTGTTCCTTCCTAGAACTATTGCTTCAGAGTGGGATAGGTTGGGTTTTTCCCTTAGGCTTAGGGTATGTTGTGGAACCTCTGAAGGAATCCTAGAGAAGAGAAGTTAGATCAGCCATAGCTTGTGTAAGACCTATGAAAGGTTGGCTATATGGAAGAGACAAAGACTTTTGGCCAACTTCTCAGAGGGTTGGAAATTCAGGGAGGCAGAGTTTGACTCTGTAATGAAGAACTTCACTAGACCTGTCTGGAAGCTGATTGGGCTGCCTTGGAGGGTTACAAACCTCCCTGTCCCAAGTGTATTCAAGCATAAGTTGATAAGTTGATTAATTTTCCTTTTTTTTTTTGCATGGTGCCGGGCATTGAACCCAGGGCACTATGCATACTAGTCAAGCACTCTACCATTGAACTACATCCCATCCCCCGATTAAATTCTTAAAGGGGATGTACATGTTGGGTACAGTGGGTGGAGTGATTGGAGTGAATGCCTAAAAGTTTCTTTCAACCCTCAAGAGTCAGGTTTTTTTAAAATGGTCAATACAGGGGGTTTTTTTTGACAATTTGGGTTAAACTTTGGCATGCTACTGGGGCTGGGCACTCTGCTTCTGGCAGTTCTTAGTGTTTGTTGTTGAGGTCACTGCTGCCACTGTTGGTTTGGAAGGCTGTCATTGGTAGCTGTTAGTGGGTCAGCTTGGAGAGCCAAGCCTATATAAGTCCAAAGAGGCTTGGGGACTTCTCTCTGCTGCTGCTCATGACTACTGTCTGTGCAGGTGAAATCTGGAGGAGCAGTAGAACCGTTGGGCACCAGAATCACCCTCCACATCACAGATCCCTCAGACATGACCAGAGATCTGCTCAAGGTAACCACCTGGTCAGGAAAGTGGCTGTCCTCATACAGTTCTCTTGGGGAGATTGTCTTTGTAAAATAACCTTCAGGGACAGGAGGCACCTTCTTACTTTCTGGGCGGCAAGGCTCTGCAGCAGGGTTACCTGCAGTTGGGGTTTGGGGCTACATATCTAGAATGCAGTCCTTAAGCACTTTCTGATTGATGAAGTGGCAGCTTTTTGGCCTCTAGTATCTGCCCTGTTCCTCTCCTCTGATCCCTAAGGACAGGATGCCTGATAGCTTGGAGCTGTGACTCAGTTTGAATTTATTATGTTGGTTTCATCTTGGTGGTTCAGATGGACAGGAATGAGTCTCTAGCTTTAAATGGGAAGTCAGAGAAAACTGGGAAAAGCTTTGTTCTCACACTGTCACTAGTGGTATTAATTGGGCAGGGGGCCTCTGGTTGACTTTCTTTGCCTCTGATTTAAATTAAAAAAATTTTTTATGCTGGGGATCTAATCCAAGGCCTCTTGAGTGCTAAGCTGTGCCCCCATCCCCTGATTAAAAAAAATTTTTTTTTTTAATCTCGCAGTCTGAGACATGTAGTGTGGAAATCCCAGAGCTGGAATTTGAACTGGGAATGGCTGTCCTTGGGGGCAAGTTCACCACTCTGGAGGGACTGCTGAAAGACATCCGGGAACTGGTGAGTCCCCTGAGTATAGTATATAGGTTCTTCAGCAACTTGGCTGGGAAAGGGGCTGGAAAACCTCAAGCAGCCTGGTTTTGTTGGGCATGGTGATAACACTCTTGTAATCCCAGAAATCTGTGCACTGAGTCGGGAGAATTGTGATTTCCAGGGCTTGGTAGCAAGACCCTGTTTCAACCCCTCTCCTTTCCAAACAAGAAAATCCTAGTTTGGGAGCTGATTAACTGACTGGGGGATTCTTTGCCTTAAAGCTGGTTCAAGAGATTTAAATTACTTTATTATTTGTTAATTTATTTATTGGTTGTCCTGGGATTTGAACTCAGGGCCTCACACTTGCTAGGCAGGTGCTGTACCATTTGAGCCACTCTGCCAGCCCTGTTTTTTGTGTTGGGTATTTTTAAGATAGGGTCTAAAGAACTATTTGCCTGGGCTGGCTTCAAATCATGCTCTTCCTGATTTCTGCCTCTGGAATAGCTAGGATTATAGGCATGAGCCACTGGCACCTGGTTTAAGTGTTATTTTGGATTGTGAAGAGAAGTTTATGGGAAATTTTGAATGGGAATTTGGAAGCTTAACTCTGGAATAGTGTAGTTATTGTGATCCTGGGTAAGTCATTAATTTTATTGTAAAATATGGAATGAGGGTCTTTGAAGCACCTATAATCCCTAACATACACATATATGTGTGTTGACTAAGCACGTACATTTGGCCCCACTGTATGCAACCACACATTAAAAATACTTAGGGGAAAAAGTACGTCTGTACTGAACAAGTACAGACTTTTTCTTGTCATTTTTTTTCTAAACAATATAGCATGACGATTTACATAGCATTTGTATTGCATTGGGTATTATAAGTAACCTACAGATAATATAAAATATACAGGAGGATGTGTGTAGGTTCTGTGCAAATGTTATGCCATTCAGTACAGGGGACTTCAGCATCCATGGATTTTTTTGGGACTCATGCAGATACCCAAGGATGACTGTATACTTACCTTTTCATTTTGTTTCTTGAGACAGGGTCTCAGCATGTAGCCCAGCCTGGCCTTGCAATCACAATCCTCTGGCCTCAGCCTCCTGAGTGCTGGTATTACAGGTGTGTACCACCATGCCTAGCTTGTCCTCATAAACTGTATTTTTTTCTTTGCATTTGTTCTGCAAAGTAGGAGTAGATATTATAAAAGGACTTTTGTAAATTTTGTTTTGTATTGCCAGTTTTGCTTTCTTGGTAGATTGATTCCCTGCAGTGGATGGATGCCTAGGTTAGCAAGGTGGCCGTGGGATCAGTGGAAACCAGGCTTCTTTGGCCGGACACCCACTGCCACTTCCTGCCTGGTTGTGATCAGGCTCATGAGCATAAAGCCATAGTGTAGCAATTTGGATGTCTTTTATTGCAGGTGACCAAGAACCCTTTCACACTGGGCGACAGTTCCAATCCTGGCCAATCAGAGAAACTGCAGGAGTTTAGCCAGAAGTTGGATCAGGTGAGAGGACACTGGCGGTAGGTACTTGTGGTCCTCATGCTCCATTTCTTGCCACTTTCTGAACATCCAGCCATCATGTCAGGATTATTCTGGCTTCTTGTATATCAAGACCTCTTTTTTCCGTAGTTTTCTTCCTTATTTTGTTTAGCATCTTCTCCAGTAGCTTCCTGAGAAAGAGTGTATGGGAAATAAATTTTTTAGGACATTCAATGTCTGAAAATTAATTTCTTTTTTTTGCAATATTGGGGGTTGAACTCAGGGCCTCCTGCTTGCTAGGCAGGCACTCTACCACTTGGGCCACTCTGCCAGTCCTGTTTTGTGTTGAATTTTTTTTTTTTTCGGTAATGGGCCTTCACCTTTGGAGAGAGCTTTCTCTTACTCCCTTGTTATTCTTGAACCTAACTGGGGGTGACAGATGCAGAACTGGGGGGCAGGGACGAAGATGCAGAAAGGACACAGGATAAACAGACAGACAGAAAGTTGGGGCCAGATGTTCTGGGTGCTCAGATGGAGGGGCACAGTAGCCTCATTGCTTCTTTTCTCTATTATTCTTGTCATTTACTCTGCTTCTTTTCTCTGTCTTTATTCTTTAAAGCCTTACTCCTTTACAGTTCTTTAAAACCTTGCTTGTAAAAGTTTTCTATTCTTTAAAGCCTCTTTCCTTAGACTCACTCTGTCCCATGTTTTCCCTTAGCTTTTCTTTAGCATAATCTCTCTTAAAGTCTTTTCCCTCAGACTTGCACTGTCCCATGTTCTCTGTAGCTTTTCTTTAGCTTAGCTTTTCTAAAGCCTATGTGTAAAGTTCTCAGTGCAGACTTTCACTGTCCCATGTTCTCTCTTTCGATTTCTTAAAATCTCAGCCCTCAGGCTTGCTAGTAATTCCCCTTTAGCAATTCTCCTTCAGTAATTCTCCTCAGCAGTTCTTCCTTCAGCAATTTCCCTTCATCCAAAAGTCCCCCATGAAAAAACCTTCCCCATCCAAAAGCCTTGCTTCATTCAAAAAGCCAAAAGCCAAAAACAAAAGCCTCATGTCCTCCTTCAGCTAGTTTTTTATATCCAGTGGGTAAACAGGGTAGAGCAGTGGTTCATGGGGAGGGGTGTGACATTGTAACAAGAGGAACCTGCGTTAAACAATTTAGGAAAAGCAGCTGAGCTGCATCTTGCCTTGTAGCTTTCTTCTGTGGCTCTGGGCTGTGCCAAATTTCAGCCTATAGAATATTTGACATAAACATCTTAGGAAAAACAGCTGCTCTGCATCTTAATCTCGCCCTGTTCTTTGGCTGGGGCTGTGCCAAACTCAGCCTACAGAACATTGGGCACAGCTGTGCTTAGGTCCAGCTCTCATAGGCTTCACATAATCCGCTCCCCACATACCTTGAGCCATTCTGCCAGCCCAATTTTTTGTGATAGGGTCTTTCAAGATAGGGTTTTGTGAACTATTTGTGGGACATCTGGCTTTGAACTGTGATGCTCCTGATCGCTACCTTCCGAGTAGCTAGGATTATAGGCATGAGCCACAGGGGCCTGGCTTGAAAATTTCTTCATTCCTGAACTAGACTGCTTGTTGACTGAGAATACAATTCTAGGCTAGAGATAATTTTTTATATGAATGTTGAAGATACTGTCTTCCTGTTTCCAGTTTGACTATCGAGAAGTCTGGAGCCATTCTGATCCCTGATCTGTTGCTATATCCTTGTAATCTTTTTGTCCTCTATGATGTGAAATTTTAGGATGTTCCTTGGTATGGGTCAATTTTCAACCACTGTGCTTAGTCAGCACTTGATGAATTTATTCAGTCAGGAAAACTCACATGGTTTAGTTCTAGGAAGCTTTCTTGAATGTTGTTTCTGTGTTCTCTTAGATATTAGAATTATTTGGCCTTTTGTAATTTACTTATATTTGACACTGTTTTTTCTGGCTACCCTCCACTGCACTAGTGTCCCCCAGTCAATAGCTTGCTGTGGTAACTTTTCTAGAGAAACAAACACATTTACTGGCCATTTTGAGTAGGAGATGAGATTGGGGATGTTTCCCTTTTTTTGTGTGTGGGACTGGAATTTGAACTCAGGGTTTTGTACTTGCAAAGCAGGCACTCTACTCCTTAAGCCACATCTCCAGTTCATTTTGGTGTGGTTATTTTGGAGATGGTGTCTTGTGAATTACTTGCCTGGGCTGGCCTCAAATGAGGACATCATTCTCCTGATCTCAGCCTCCCAAGTAGCTAGGATTATAGGTGTAAGCCACTGGTGCTTGACTTTGAATTGCTTCTTGAGTAGTTTTCAGTTAGTCCTTACTTTTTAAGGACTGTCTGAAATGGAGTCCTTTCCACTCCATTTCCAAAGGCATCTCACCAATTCTTCAAACCGGGGATTCTGCAGTGTAAGTTGGGTTGGCTTTTATTTGACAGTCATGTAAAATTTACTTGCTATATCATCTTTCATAGATCATTGAGGGTAAGATGAAGGCTCAGTTTATCTTGGATGATCCAGCAGGAAACAGTTACTTGCAGGTACAGTAGACCGTTGGATGTTTTGTGGAGGTATATTTTTTGATCTTTCTTTAATATGTACCATATCCTCAGAAACTGAAAGACTTGATTTTAGTTGGACTGCTCTTTACCATTGATCTTTGGGCAGGAGTAGAAGATAAGACCTGTGTCTCTTTTCCCCTTCCCCGCTCTCCACTTCCCTACACATTTCCTAAGAAGCAGCAGATATAAAATGTTTTAGGGACTGGAGATGTAGCTCTGTGGTAGAATGATTACCTACCATGGTCATTGCTTACCTACAGTGTGCAAGGGCCTGGGTTCTACCCGTAGCATTGCAAACAAAACAAAAACAAACCCCCCCAAAAAGTTATTTGGAGGATTCTTTCCTTCTGTCCCACTCCTGGTCCATGTGTACTTTGTTGCTTCCATTAGTTCAGCTTAGCCATGGGGGAATGGAGGCCCTTAGAAAAGAATATAAAAGTCATTAAATTATTAGGAAAATGGGAGTCAGCAGCTGCCTGTGGGAGGAGGAAAGGCAGGATGGCCCAGGCACTTATTGTCTGTTCTTGGCCTTGCAGAATGTGTACGCACCTGAAGATGATCCGGAGATGAAGGTGGAGCGGTACAAGCGTACCTTTGACCAAAATGAGGAACTAGGGCTCAATGACATGAAGACTGAAGGCTATGAGGCAGGCCTGGCCCCACAGCGGTAGTTGTAGGCAGCTCATGGGCCAGCTCCAGTACTGCTGCTGCTGCTGCAGAGTTATTTATTACTGTTGGAATATAGCTGGGCATGTCCTTTCCCTGCCCTCACCCTTGGTGTGGAGGATGCCTGTCCCGCATCGGAGATCTAGGCACACTTTCTAAACAGCTTGTGATGCAAGTGCAAGCCTGCTGTGTTACTTGACCTTATTTTGGAGGTTTTGAATTGGCTTAGGAAAACACCCAGGAATGAACCACGGGGCATGTCATCATCCACCTTTTCCTATCCACTCTTTACCCTTCCTCTACCAGTGCTTTGTTCTCTTGGGTAGGGCCTTTGAAGTTGGTGAAGGTGAAAAACCAATAGCTGAGGTGTGGAATTGGCTTTGGGCACGTAAAGTACTGGCTTTCAACGGGAAAGGAGTCTTCCGGGGGCGGCACAGGTGAAGTTATTAAAATGATGACTTTCAAACAACACTGGCCTCTGCATTTACTCTATTCTCTCAGATACCATGTTAAAATTCAGCCTCCTAAGCTGTAGGTGATGGTGCATGGTCTGCATTCTGGAGCTAAGTCAGGAGGATTATAAGTTTGAGGCCAGCATGGGGTACATAATGAGACTTTGTCTTAAAACAAAAAACAATTCAGCCTTCTAAAGATTTTCTGCAGTGTGGCCACTGTCACTTGGAGATTGGAGCTGGCTTTTCATGCATTCCTTCAAAAGATGCTTGCACTGGGTGCTGGTGGCTCACACCTATAATTCTAGTTACTCAGGAGGCAGAGATCAGGAGGATCGTGGTTTGAGACCAGCCTGGGCAAATAGTTCTTGAGACCCTATCTCGAAAAATACCCAACACAGAAAAGGGCTACCTTACAAGTGTGAGGCCCTGAGTTAAAACCTCAGTACCAACAACAACAGAAAAATGCTTGATTGCCTACTTTATACCAGACAGTGGGCAAAATCAGTCTGCTTTCCTGACTAGTGTGGAAAACTGACAAGAAACACACAAGCAGAACAGCATGTTAGAATGTGATGCATGTGGGGCGGGGTGGGGGGGTGTTTTAGATACAGTGGTCAGGGAAGAGCTTGGTCTGTTGGCAGAGCTGAGAAGGAGGTAAGGGAAGCCTGCCTAATCCAGTGGGGAAATAGACTTATGGCAGAGTGAACTGCAAGTGCATGAGCTGTAGAGTGTGAGAGGTAGGGGCTGCCTACAGTTGTCAGTGCTCTTTGCAGAAGTCTGCTCCCTCAGGAGCAAAAGGCGACTCCTGCTGTGCAGGCTGCAGGAGAAGATCAGTTAGTTGAGATGCTATCACAAACCTTGCTGCTTTGGGACTGGTGGAGTGACTCAAGTGGTAAGAGCGCCTACCTGACAAACATGGGGCCCAAGTTCAAACCCCAGTACCGCCCAAAAGGAAACAAAAAACAAACAAACCCTTATTGCTTTGTGCTACAGATTTAACTCTAAAGAATTGTATACTTACATGTGACTTAGCGATCAGGCATCTACTCTCACAGCCCTGTTAAGTCACAAGTTTTTGGCCACTTGAAAAATGTTCAAATTTCTCCCATTTCTTTTGGGTTTCAATGACCAGCTCTTTCTTATCAAACTTTTTCTTGGCTTTCGTGATACTGTATCCTTGGTCATTGCTTTACTTAAGGATTTTGGGACTGGGGCTGGGTTATGGCTTAATGGTAGAGTGCTTGCCTAGTAAGCATGAGGCCCAGGGTTCAGTTCCTCAGTACCATCAACAAAGGAAAAAAACACCGCAGGTTAGCAAATTGGCTCACAAACTAAAGCCACAACACTTTGATTAGACTTCTTATATGCTAGTATTCCACCTTAAGACTGTGTTCCCAGCTGACTTGAGAATCTTAAGATTATCAGACGGCCTTCTGTCTACCCTGTGGGCACTTGAGTGGACTTCCCTGGGGCCATCCATGTGCTCTGTGATCAGCTTCATTTCCCATTGGGAAGGGAAATGCACTCTGGTTTATAACTGAGTCAATGTGAAGCACCTTCCAGGCTCCATCCAGTTACTGGGAAATTACAACTGGAGTTGCTGAAACTGCAAAGACTGATGCTGAGGTCTAGACCGGTATGACCCAGCTAGGTGCGGCCCGATCTTTCATAGGGACAGGGCCTGGCATCCGTATTTCACACCACACTTAAAATATTTCTCAACTCCATTTTCATCTCACAAGGCCTGCTGGAAGAAGAGCGTATGTCACTTAACTGTACCTTGCTTCACAATGTGCAGCATGTGACATGGTGAATGAAATCTGTTATAAAGCAGTCCTGCAGATTATGACTCATCCTCCTCTTAGATCACATGCGCTTAGGGCACTGAAGGTAACATAGGAATGAGGTATGGGAAGGGTTCTGTGCTAAGACCAGGGGAGGTGAGACGGTCAAAAGTGCCTGCCTGAGAACTTGTAGATACGCAGCTATAAGAATAAAACTTGAGTAGCAGTTTCGTGACTGTTTAAAAGAAGGACGTGACCCATTTGTGAGAGCATGCCTTCTGCTTTGTGTTTCAAGCTCATTAAGCACACTGGGTTGTGAATCACAGGTAGGTAGTGAATGTACACCTGCGTCCCGGTGAGTGAGTGGGGCATTTGACTTGGCTGCTATGCTTCGGTGGTGGTAGGACTTCTGTGGAATAATGCTGTTGGTATAGCTCTGTACACTGTGGTATGTCAGTTGCCCCGCACACATTGCAGGGAATGGGGCTTCTTAAATTTAGAGTGGTGATGTTTAAGACTAGTTGGTTTAATTATTATTGGTTTTTGTTTGAGACAGGGTCTCACTATGTGGTCCAGGCACTTACTCTTATTTTAAAAAGAATTTACATACTTCCCTTTACAGGAAAATGGCAGTTTTCAACTGTGAAAAGAGTCAGTGCTTATGCTGTGTGTCCACCTCAGAGTTTAGTTTGGCACCTCTAATGCCTGTTTCCTGGTCTGTCAAATGGGATACTAATGGCATCTACTTGTAGGGTTTCATTGAGTTAACTGTGAATTGCTTTTTTATGTACTTAATTCTAACAAAAATCCTGAAGTCCCTGATTCTACTTTACAGAATAAGGAAACATTCTTAGAAGTTAGGTTATTTTTCAGAAGGAAAAAAATAGCTTCTATGGGGCAGGCTTCAAACCCACACCAGTCATCTTCTGATGGCTGAGCTCTGAATATTTCCAGGTTACTTTATTTGTTTTATTAGATAGAACTGCAGGGAGAGGGCAAAGCTCAGATCTGGCCGCCAAGCACATACCCATCTGATCCTGCTTAACTGCCCTGTGCCGTAGGGTTGGGACGTGAGCGTGGGTCTTGTCAGGCTGAGGTTATTGAGGAGTAGAGGGGCTGGAACTGACAAAGACAGAAGTGGGCAGGAGATGGGTTGATGCGACCAAGAGTGCTGTAACACTAATGTTCATTCCAGGAGAAGTGTGAGGCTTTGCAAATGCCTGCTGACCCCGGATGGAAGCAGGGCTGTGGAGTTCAGTTTGAGGTACTCTAAACTATAGGCTAGAGGTCAGGTCAGGGAGACCTGTGGGTCCTCCAGTTAGTAAACTCCTATTTTTTCTGTCCAGTGTCCCCTTCTCACAAGCTTTCAGACACAACCCACTTTCTTTCTGGGCTTGTGCTACAGCCACCCAAGTGCAGCCCAGTGGTAAAAGTTAATGCTTCAAGGCAGTGATCTCAAAGCCTCTTTTATAAGTGAAGAACTTTTTGAACACATATCCCAAGATGGATGAATGAATGAGTAAATAAATGTTTTAAAGTATAACAATGCCTGCCTGGTGGATATACTTCAAAACAATGGCAAAAATTTAACTTCTACAGAATGAAATACAAGAATATGAAATACAATATTTTATTTAAAAAGTGGATTACCTCTCACATCCACATGGCTAGCTGCTTCTTTCAAGAATCATGTGGCAATGCAAAGTTGACCAATTTGTTCTCAAAGTCTCAGTTACCATCTGAAAGTTACGATAATAAAAACATCTGAGAATTGTGAGGGTTGAGACTTCACATAGAGCCCTTAACCCCTCCAGAAGGAAAGTGGTTTTCCCTAAAACATGAATATTAGAATTCAACCTTCCTAGCTTTTTTGCCATGTTGAAACAGATCCATGTCCTTTTCACTGGACTTGCCCCAATTTCCTTCAAGAGACAACTAGGGCTACCAATATGGAACTTATGAAAGTCACAGGTCTTAGAAATTTACCTGTTTTTCATAGTCATAAGGAGTTTGGAGTTCCTGACTTTTTAAAAAAAATTTTTGGCAGTCCTGGGGATTGAATTTCTGGCCTTGAGCAGGTGTGATAACCACTTGAGCTTTTGGTTTTAGTTGGTTTTTCATCTGTGGGCTTTTGCTTTTGCCCAAGTTGCCCTGGGACCATGATCCTCCTACCTGCACTTCCCAAGTAGCTGGGATTACAGGCCCGGTTCTGACATCCTCTCTCGTGTGGTGCTTGGAAGCCTATTAGAGCAGACTACCATTCACCCAGTGATGCTCACGCCAACAGAAATAACTAGAATGTGCTGGTAACTATGTACGAGACAGCACACTTAGCACAGCAGTATTATCTTGGCAATATTACCTCGCAACTTTTGATTTTGTGCCATTCTCATTTTATTAAGTAACTTGCCCTAAGTCGCACAGCTAAGAAGTTCGGACTCCGTATTAAAAGAGAACCATGTTTGGATGGGTGTGCCGACGGGACAGTGCTTGCTGCAATAGGATGCATGGAAGGAAGGACACATGGTTGCGTCGTCGTCATGAGAATGTGAGTGGGCTCCGGAGACGAGCACGGTCCCCGAGAGCCTGCAAACGCGTCTCTCGGCGGCCGCACCTGTCAGCTCGGCAGCTCCAAGCGCACTCCGCCGCCACTTCCGCTTCCGGGCCCGCCCCTTGGGCGGCCGCCGTACGTTTCGCGTTCAGGAATTTTGTCCCCGGCGCCGAGCCGTCTCCCCGCCGTCGCCGCTGCCATGGCGGCAGCTCCGCCGCTCTCCAAGGCCGAGTATTTGAAGCGTTACTTGTCCGGGGCAGATGCCGGCGTCGACGGGACTCCTGAGGCCAGTCGCAAGCGGCGTAAAAAGCGTCCGAAGCCCGGGGGGGCCGGCGGCAAGGGGTGAGTCGACGGCGGGGCGGGACTGGGCGGGACCGGGCGGGACCCTCCGCGCTCCCCTCGGCAGCCGCGCTGCGCTGGTTCCCGCTGCCGCCGGTTCCTCCTCGCCTGGACCTGAGCCTGGCCCGTGCTCCGTGCGCAGCGCCTTCCTTCCGCGCGTTCGAGCCCGGCCGCCGCGTCCTCGCTTTTCCCGCCTTCTCCGCCCGGCGTTGGCTGTCGTGGCCTGAGAATGATGGCACGAACCCAAAGCTTCTGCCTTGGGATGTTTAGGGCCAGAGACTGCCTTTGGGAGCCCCAGATCCCAGGGACTCTGATGCGAACAGAGACACTGACTACTGCTGACCGTAACAGCGGTTGCAAAGCTCGTGTCTCGTGCTGGCACCTTTCTCATGATTGCGAATTGAGTTGAGCTTCGCAACAGCGCGGTAAAGTAAGTACTGTTATCTCAAGTGAGAAAGTGGCCCATTGTCCTGGGCCACCAGATTCCTCCCCATCAGGAACTTCACCAGGACATTATTTGGAAATAGGATCTTTGCAGATGCAATCAGTTACGAGGAGTTTTTAGGTGGGTGCTGAATTCAGTATGACAGGTGTCCTAAAGGAAGAGAATGGTGTGGACACAGAGAAAACAGGGTGTGTAGTGAAGGCTGACTGGATCGGGTTGATGCTGCCACAGCCTTTATCTTCCTCCGGCTGTCAGGAGCTGAAGGAGGCAAAGCTCCTTCCTGAGAGGCTCCTAGGGAGCTTTCTTTGTGGACACCTGAAGTTTGGACTTGATTTCACCTTCTAGCTTTCAGAACCTTTGGGAGAATACATTTTTGTCCTTTTAAGCCATCTAGTTTCTTGTATTTTGCTATACACTCAGTGAAGTCAAATAGTTCCAAAGGACTTGTCTTATTTTTGTTTTTTGTTTCCCCTCTCTGATTTGTGTGGATTCTTTGAATCTTTGAAGGCAGTGCCATGCAGTGAAAATAGTTTGAGCTTTGGAGCAGCACTGATCAGAATTCAAATCTAGTGGTGCCACTAAAGGCAAAATATTTCATCTCAAAAAAAAAAAAAAAGACAACAAAAAGATGTTTCATCTCTCTGATCGTGTTTCCTAATCTTTAAAGAGAGAGTCATATTGAGAGTACTGCTTATAGTACATGGTTGTGAGTAGAGATTCTGGATCATATGCCCTGGGTTTTCAGATAGCCCTTCACATCACAGTTCATTTATGGAACGGACATTTGTTACACATAGTCACATTTCAGTATCTTTGGGGCACTGGTTCTCCAAATCCACGGATACTTGTTCCTTACACAAAATGGTATAGTATTTGTGTGTAACCTGTGCATATCTATGTGTATACTTTATCTTCAGATTACTTATAATACCTAATGGAGTGTATGTGCTGTGTTAGTAGATGTTATGGTGTATTATTTAGGGAATATGACCCAAAGAAATCTTTATCTGTTCAGTACACATCAGCTTTTTTTTCCCCCTATGTATTTTCAATCCATGATACATTGACTTTTCCAGCACAGAACCCATTGATATAGAGGGCTGACTACCTCCTGTAACAGATGCTGCAGGGTGTTGAGAATGCCATTGTGAGCAATAACACTTCCTTCAGCCTGGTGTGGTGGTTCACACCTGTAATCCTACTACTGGGGAGGCTGAGGTAGGAGGATAGAGACCTTGAGACCAGCCTTGGCTACATAGTGAGTTTGAGGCCAGCCTGGGCTACATAGTGAGATTCTATCTCAAAAAAAGGGAGGGAGGGTTGGATTTTGGCTCAAGTGGTATAATACCTGCCTCGCAGTGCAAGGCCCTGAGTCGAAACCCCAATACTGAAGAAAAAAAAAAAAAGTGCCACAGTCCCTATTCAGTTTAGCTTATAGTTTAATGGGAATTCAGGCTTTATGTAATTAAATACACAACAATTGTTTCTTTGGTGATAAGTACAATGAAGATATTCCAGGAGTGTGTGAGGAGGGGCTTGTTATTCTGGGAGTGGGGAGAGGGTAGGTAAGGAAGATAGACCCAAGGAAGTTATATTTATGTTAGGACCTGAAGAATGAATAAGAGTTTCCTTGTATAAAATGGGCATAGTAGGTCTGGCAGAGGGAAGGAGCTGCATTTGTGAACTCTGACGTGGTAAGGAATTTGACTCATTCCAGTCATCAAAAGATGACCAGTGATGTATTGAACTGAGGCAGCAGTGGCATGGAATAAATTCCTTGTAGATAAAGACTGGACAGTGCAGGAATTAGTCCGATTTCAAACTTTATTTTCAGACTGGTGGGTAAATTTTAGCCTCCTATCCCAAATGAGTCTCCTTTTTGATTCTTTTATTGTTTCTTTTAGGATGCGAATTGTTGATGATGATGTGGGCTGGACAGCCATCTCCACCACTAAGCCAGAAAAGGAGGAGGAAGATGATGGAGATTTGCCTGTGGTATGTATCTTTTGGAGAGTCATGTAGTTATGAGTTGGAAATGATGTGAGTTTCTCAGTCTTGACTCCCATTTTGGGGTTGATTTGTAACGGGAAAGCTGAGCACAGAGAAAAGGTGATACTTTTCCAGAGAGCTGCGTGAATTAGTCTTTCATGATGCTTATATAGTGTGTCCCGACTTAATGGATTGACTTGAATTTTTGACTTTACGATGGTGTGAGAGCAACACATGCTCAGCAGAAACTAGACTTTGAATGTCGAGTGTGATTTTTTTTCCTGGCTAGCACAATTCAGATATAATACCTCTCCTGGTGCTGGACTGCAGCAGCGAAGCACAACTCCCAGTGAGTCATGTGATCACAGGAGAAACAAGCAGCCCTCACTGCTCTATGGTGCTCTGTGCTGCTGCTAAGCTCGAGTTTGCTAGGTTAGGTATATTAAGTGTATTTTCCACTTACGGTTTTTCCAACTTATGATGGACTGAAATGGGTGTAACCCCATCAAGGAGCCATGTGAATATTGACTTCTCTGTTTATGGAGGGCCCCATCAGCCTAGACGTGGGAACTGAGAGAGGCAGAATTCCTCAACCCAGTGATAGAGCCATGGTTAGAATTACCCATGGTTCAGTTTGTTGGAATCTACTTTAAAAACACAGTTCAGGTTCAGTTGAAGGAAGCATTTTATTTCCCCTTTGACATACTTTTAGCCTGAGTGCTAGGAATGCATAGATGATGAGAACATACTGTCTGTGCAATAAGAGCCTGGATTTCAAATCATTTCTAAGATAAATTGCAGGGATAAATTCCACACAGGCACCAAGTGTCATTAGAGCACAGAGAAGGCAGCACATTGTATTCCATTGGGATCCATTATGAAAGATGTGAGTATCTGAATTGGGTTTTGAAGGATGTGTAAGAGCCAGGTGGAGGAAAGCATAGGCTAATAACCTCCATGATATATTCATGGAATCATTGCTGAGGATTTCTGAGTCACAGGTGAAAGGGAGAGCTATCGGTAAGCTATACTGTATTGAAAGGTGGTAAAAATGGATTCCAGAGGAGTGAATCTAATGTAACTTCCCAGAACAGTTCTAAAA